AAGTATTTGGGCCATCTTCTACTGCTTCCCAAGGCACTTTAACAGTGAGCTGAATCAAAAGTGGCAGCCATAGGGGCCATCAAAAATGAGGTACCTCTTTCTGAAGGGAGGGGAGAACTTCCACTTTGATTATGGCCTTGTCTAAATAAGGTCAGAGTTAGTGAACTCAAGAGGCTTCCACAGCCTTGGCAGCTCATGACAAGAGCCTAGGGTGATTACTGACGTCATAAATAAGAGTGTCAACTGTTAAATCAACAAGAGGAGTCACTGTGCACTGCTCCCCATGTAAGACCTCTGTCCTTAATGTGTTGTACTATGAGAACTAACGGTAAAACTAATCTTCAAATAGTACTTCATACTTTGTGTGTCTGCAAACTGTTGAAATCTTTACTCAGTATAGAGTTGATCTTCTATATATAAAGATAATTAAAAATGAATCTTAATGAAGAATGGGATGGGAGAGGGAGTAGGAGATGGGATGCTTTGCAGGAGGGACGGTGGTTATGGGGGGAAGAACTGCTATAATCCAAAAGTTGTATTTTCAAAATTTATATTTTAAATAAAAATTTTCTATTAAAAAAAAAAAGAAGTGGCAGCCAGGACAAGAACCAGTACACACATACCCAGAGCTATGAATCTTATACACAAGTCAGCTTGACTTCAGTGATACTTGCTTCTTCTCAGCTTCTGGAGCAGCTTTACCCAGTACTTTGTTCTTTATCTAAGAGGTCATTGTCTGTTCCCAGAAATGTCCTTTTAAAAGTTAATCGTGGCTTTAGAAGTGAAATTGACATTTGGAGATGCAATGACTTTGAGCAGCCCTTGCTTTGACTTCTGAGGAACAGTTTTTTTTTTCTTTTTTTCATACTACTTGTTGAACTCTTTGTGTAGGGTGAATATTATGCATATAAAGTTAATTAATAATAGATCTTAGTACAAAATAAGAATGGGAAAACGATAGGGAAGAGAAAGAAGAGTAGGAGTATGGGTGGGAGGGAGGGCAGGATGGGAAGAATCACCATGTTAATAAATTTGTATATGTGAAATGTATGATGTTTATATACCTTAAATAAATAAAAGCTTTTTAATAAAAAAAGTAATCAAAAGATAAGTTCATTTTGGTACAAAGTGATTGCAAAATCCATGCATAGAGGGGTCTTCAGAAAGTTCTTGGAAAATGTGTATTATGAAAAAATAATTCATAGATTTCAAAATGTTTTTGCACCAAAATAAACTTACTTTAATTCTATTTTCCATAAAGTTCTTTGAAGTACCTTCATATTCAGTTATTATTATTGTTATGAATTCTCATTGTCAAATATCTGAGTCTTCTAATCCACACTTTTAGTTTTCTAATCCATACTTTAACTGCTCTCAGATAAACACTACTTTGCTAGTTATTTTTGTATTCAGAAGCCTTTAATAACTGCCCAGTAAAATCTGAACAACATAATTTCTATAGTGATGTTTTCTTATTTTTGTTATCATAACAACAGAAATGAGAACTCTGTTCAATGAGGACATTGCTTGCACTGTGAAACAGCTTGAAAACCATCCTTAGGGTCATTAAGGAATCCCGTGAGTGTGGATGGAAGGTCCTCTATGAAGCAAACTGCCAGGGACCACAGTTCATTGAGAACCCACTCAGAACATCAGAGCTGGCATCGAAAATACCTTAATCTAAATATATATGCGATTCAATAGTTGCACAAAAAAACCTTCTGGGAGCTTCCCTAATCAGACAAAAGGCAGGAACTTCCAGGAAATAAGATAGGCGTACATTCCAGCTTCAAGATGGCTACTACTGGGAAGAAGACCAAGAATAAAGCTATCAGAAATACCCTCTCCACAGGGAGAGGCTGTGAAGAAAGGAGCAGTCATCTGCATAAAAGAACATTCTCAAAAACTGGCTCACATCTCATTTGTTCTCCTGAAAAGCCATATGCCTTTCTTAGCAAACTTTTGTTCTTCCAGTGCAACACTCCCTGCACCCCTTCCTCTACTGAAGTAGATACATCAGCTCACTTCAACCATTTATCTGTCCTGCTATTTATTTTGCTAGCTCTCTTACACAATAAATACATGTTATTTTCCCCTACTAAAATTAATAATGCCAACCAGCAACCCAAGTCAGAGAGCTGTTTTAAGACTTTGCCTATGCTAATGTCTTCCAGAGTTTCCCCAATGTTCCCATCTAGTAAGTTGACATTTTAAGGTGCTAGATTTAAACCCTTGATCTATTTTGAGTTGATTTTTGTATAGAGTGTAAGGTAAGGGTTTTTTTTTTTTTTTTTTTTTTTTTTTTTTTTTTTTTTTTGACAGGCAGAGTGGACAGTGAGAGAGAGAGACAGAGAGAAAGGTCTTCCTTTGCCGTTGGTTCACCCTCCAATGGCCGCCGCGGTCGGCGCGCTGCGGCCGGCGCACCGCGCTGATCCGATGGCAGGAGCCAGGAGCCAGGTGCTTTTCCTGGTCTCCCATGGGGTGCAGGGCCCAAGCACCTGGGCCATCCTCCACTGCACTCCCGGGCCACAGCAGAGAGCTGGCCTGGAAGAGGGGCAACCGGGACAGAATCCGGCGCCCCGACCGGGACTAGAACCCGGTGTGCCGGCGCCGCTAGGCGGAGGATTAGCCTAGTGAGCCGCGGCGCCGGCCTAGGTAAGGGTCTTGATTCATATTTCTGCACATGGAGATCAGGTTGACGCTTTTGCTGCAGCAATAATATTGATTGAATGGGATCTTGCCACAGACCCTTTCAAGAAATGATTAGATTAAGTTAAAGGCTGCCAAGAAACTTGTTATGTAAGAGAAACTTTGGAAAAATAATGATCCCCAAAGGTGCTCACAATTCTCTTTCTTTTGTTCCAATTGAAGTAATATAGAAACACTCAATAAACTTCTTTAGAAATAACTTTTCTTATCAAAATTTATTAATATATAGATCAGCCATGTAAAGGGGAAAATCACTGAGGAGTATTGTAAGTTAAAAATGAGATGGGTTTGGGACAGGCATTGTGGCAAAGTGGCTACAAGCTCATCTGTGATGCTGGCATCCCATATGGGGGTCAGTTCAAGATGTGGTTGTTACACTTTCAATCCAGCTCCCTGCTATGTGCATAGGGAAGCAGCAGAAATTGACCCAAGTACTTGGTCCCCTGCAACCAAGTGGGAAATTCAGAAGAAGTTTTGAAACCTGGCTCAAAACTAGCACAGCCCCAGCCATTGTGACCATTTGAAGAGTTAACAGCAGATGGAGGTTATCTCTCTCTTTCTCCCCTCTCTCCTCATTCTCTTCCTCGCTCTGTGTAACTCTGATTTTCCAATAAATAAATAACTCTGTAAGACACTGGCATAGGCAAAGACTTCTTGGAAAAGACCCTAGAAACAAAGGCAATCAAATCCAATGGAATAGAACAGAAACTCGAGAAATCAATCCACACATCTACAACTTTTTTTTGACAGAGTAACTAAAATCACTCCCTTGTTCTCTTCAACAAATGGTACTGGGAAAACTGGATCTCTGCATGCAGAGATATGAAACTAGGTTCTTACCTTAGACTTCAGATAAAAACTCACTTAAAATGGGTCAAAGATCTCCATCAATGACCTGACACCATCAAATTACAGGAGAATATTGGGGAAGATCTGCAAGGCATTGGCATAGAGAAACACTTCTTGAAAAAGACCCCAGAGGCACAGGTATTCAAAGCCAAAATTGACAAATGGGATTACATCAAGCTGAGAAGCTTTTGCACTGCAAAACAACCCTGAGCATAATGAAGAGACAACCAATGGAAAGAGAGAAAATATTTGCAAACTATGCAACTGATAAAGGGTTAATATCCAGAATCTATAAAGAGCTCAAGAAACTTAACAACAACAAAACAAACAATCCAGATAAGAAATGGGCAAAGGCATTTTTTTAAGACAGAAAATTCAAATGGCCAACAGACACCTGAAAAAATGCCCAGGATCACTAGCCATCAGGAAAATGCAAATCAAAAACACAATCAGATTTCACTTCACTCCAGTTAGAATGGCTGTCATACAGAAATCAACAAACAACAAATAATGGTGAGGATGTAGGAAAAAAGGTACCAGAATCCATTGTTGATTGGAATGTAAACTGGTGCTGGTGCAGCCACTGTGGAAGATAATATGGAGATACTTCAGGAATCTGAATATAGATCTACCAGCTCAATTCACAATAGCTAAGATATCAATCAACCCAGATGTCCATCAATTGAAGACTGGATAAAGAAATTATGCTATAGTTACACTTTGGAGTCCTATTCAGCTGTAAAAAAAAAAAAAAAGAAAGAAGAAAGAAAGAAAAGAAATCCTATCTTTTGCAACAAAATGGATGCAACAGAGAATCATTATACTTAGTGAAATAAGCCAGTCCTGGGGCCTGACACTGTGGCTGAGTGGGATAAGACTTGCCGGAGGAGCCAGCATTCCATATGGGTCTTGGTTCCTGTCCTGAGTGCTCCTCTTCTAATCCAGCTCTTTGCTTATGACCTGGGAAAGCAATGGAAGATGTTCCAAGTGCTTGAACCCCTGCACCCAATGGGAGACCCAGAAGAAGTGCCTCACTCCAGGCTTCAGATGGGCCCAGGTCCAGCCATTGTGTCTGTTAGGGGAGTAAACCAGTGGATAGAAGAACTTTCTGTTTGTCTCTCCTTCTCTCTGTACTCTGCCTCTCAAATAAGTAATTAAAAATTTTTTTAAAAAAGAAATAAGCCAATCTCAAAAAACCAGATGTCATATGTTTTTCCTGATCAAGGGTAATTAACAGAGTACCTAAAATGTAATGTATTGGAGTGAAATGGAAATTATGGAATTAGAGGATTCTTTACAGCCCTTGAATCTTCGGTTGAGGAACAGTAGTTTGTTTTGTTTTCATAATATTTGTTGCACTCTTTTACTTCATGTAGGGTTAATCTTTTTTTTTAACTTTTATTTAATGAATATAAATGTCCAAAGTACAGAATATGGATTACAATGGCTTCTCCCCCATAATGTCCCTCCAACCCGCAACCCTCCCCTCTCCCACTCCCTCTCCCCTTCCGTTCACATCAAGATTCATTTTCGATCCTGTTCATTAAGCAAACTGAAAGCAGATCTTTGTGAAAATTAAGAGTGGGAATGGGAGAAGGAGGATAAAGAACGGTTGGAGCATGAGTGGGAAGTTGGAATTATCACTATGTTCCTAAATCTGTATACATGAAATACATGAAACATATATAACAAATAAAATTTTTTAAAAATCTTTAAAAAACAAAACATGATCAAATACCACATGTACATGACAAAATATGTTTATTAATGATTAATCAGAAAATACTGACTTCAAGTCTTAATTCTGGTGAAATTTGGAACTGATCAATCTCATTCCCTGGCTTTCACTCCCTTTGTATTTACCACAAAGATTGTTCATCTGCATTAAATACAAATTAAATATTAGAAATTGTCACTAAGTCAGTGCTCAAAATAACTACAATTTTTCACGTAAGGTTTTGCTAAGATTCAGAGAAAGGAAGTGAGTTGATATAGGTCATCCAACAGTAAGTAAATCTATGTGGCTTTCTCTGTATTTATTTCTAAGAACTCCCATGGAATCCACTTCTCCAACCCCAGTAGGAACAGTTCCTGCTGCAAAAGGTGTGTGACCATCAGTGCAAGAGAAATCATTCCTGGGAAAGCATGAGGACCCACAGCTCCATAGTATCATGGTTGCTCTTTGATTCCTACAAGTTTATTTTCTATATCAAATAAAAGGACTTTCAGACTTATGTTTTTAGTATACAATTGGTCTGAGATCTGAGGTCTGAGATCTGAGGTCTGAGGTGGATGTACCTGGGCTTAAAAGATGAAGACTGAATTTCCTGATTTACAGAATAAAGTCACTGAAGAACAATGACAGGATCAGAGAAGACACAGGAATTTGAATGGGGCAAATCATATCTTAGGCACAGAATAAAAACAAGGATAGATGTGAGCCAAGAGCCATTATAGCCATCATACACTCATTTAAGCCCACTTTAACTCTGACAGTAGAGTGATACCCAGCCCCATTTGGAGAGGAGCAGCAATAGCAGTGGAAGTTATATGAAACCCTCACGTTGAACTTCTTGCCTAGTTTGTAGTAGAAAACAGAAAGCTGAAGAGAAAGTTGAGGCCCAGCTCTGAAAACAGCAGGTGAAGATTGTTACATAGTTAGATGGACATATAGATGGATAGGTAATTTCACAAGTGATTAGGTAATAATTACCACACAGTGGAACTTCTATATGTGTACAATGATTTTGGAAGGTACCTACCCTAGGAACTGGGTATTTTATCCCAATATATGTGCTAGAATAGTTTCCCCAACTAGTAGAATATGAAATATGCATGACTTACGAATTATTTTGATAGATGAGAGTAAGTATATTTTTACAGGGTTAGCCATGCCTGGACATAAAAACATTAGTTTCTTTTTTAAGTTTCTTAAGTAGTCATTGTGATTTTTCACCATGCAGAAAGCATCTGTCATAAGTAGATATGAATTCTATGGCTACAATATTATTAGCAGAATTAAAAGTAAAAATAAAGAGATAATTATATCAACATTCTGTCCACATTTAAATTTCTCCATTCTTATAACATTTCCTTCAAATGTGAGTTTTTTAAGCCAAGAATTAATCAGAATTCTTCATGGTTAGCACAGGGATAGAAACCAATTCCAATGAACCACATCTGGCTTTCTTGCAGTTGGGTTCAATACCCAAGAAATATACAAATAATTCTTCTTGTTTCCACTGGAGAGGTGTAGCCATCTTTCCCTCCTATGACATTGCCAGCATAGAAAATGGGTAGGGATTTTCTTGGTTCCTTCTTGGCATGGATCATTATGGCCACTCTTATCCTCTGTTCAGAAATTCCAGGGCTCACAGCTCTCCTGATGCTGCTCCCAGACTTTGAATGGATTCTGCACCCCTGAAGGTTGGTGTCAGAGGAAAAGTTGGGCCCTTAAGGCCTAATCAAGCCCTGGTGAGCAGTGTCCTCCATGATTTAGTAGCAAGAAAATCAATATATCTCAAGTGGGCATATCCTGATGAGTCAGAGGTGAATCAGAGACCCACCCTTAGCTGGCACTGGATCCTCGGGTCTGAAGCCGGGGAAAAGATACCATGAACTATATTTCCAATGATCGCTTTGTCAGAGTTGGGTGCTCTGCTAGAGGTCTAAGTGTGCTTCCAGAAATGCAGATGATTCCAGAAGCCCCTCAAATGTTATGATCAATCTAGGATGGCAGTGGGCAGTGGGCCAGCTCATGTGCTGAATGAGCTGACAGTTGTATGGTATGAGCCCAACAGGGGGGTTATTGAAATGCCCCTAAATTTACAGAGAAATCATTGTGAAATGTATGCAGGCTCTCTTAAAATGTGGAAGTTGTATCAATTAAAATGTTTAATATATTTACAGAAATATTTGTCAAGGAATTATGTACAAATGTCCAACAGGAACATTAAGGAATGCTCAACACCATTAATATTCAGAGAAATGCCAACTAAAGGTATAAATGTACCCAACATCCTTTGAGTTACAGTGGATATTATCAAAGGCAAAAAAAGAACAACTGTGGAGGAACAGGGTTTTGTATTTTTAATTTTTTTTCTCTTCATACTACTTGTTAAACTCTACTTAACAGAGTTAATCATATGTGAATAAAATCAATTGAGGATAGATTTCAGTAAGAAATAAGAGTGGGAATAAGAGAGGAAGGAGAAAAGTTTTGTAACTGTAAAGCTGTGTGTTTCTGCATACATTCCTAAGGACTAACTTCTAAGGCTGGAGTTTAAAAACTTGCATTGGGACCCCAAATCTTATTAAACTGGGTGATAAAATGTCATCTTAAGTATTGAAGTGATCATATTAAGTGTTAAAGTGGGATAGCAGGATAGCGAGGGAGCTTACTGATCTAGTCCAAGAGAAGATAGTTTAATAAAAGTGGGGATAGTATAGTCTCAGGGAAGAGTTAGGGAAAAAGCAGCAGTGGAAACTCTTCCATAATTAGGACACAGTGAGAGGCAGGAACTGTGGTGCAGTGGGTTAAAGCCCTGGCCTGAAGCGTCAGCATCCCATATGGGTGCCAGTTCTAGACCTAGCTGCTCCTCTTCTGATCCAGCTCTCTGCTGTGGCCTGGGAAAGCAGCAGAAGATGGCCCAAGTCCTTGGGCCCCTGCACCTACATGGGAGACCTGAAAGAAGCTCTGCCTCCTGGCTTCAGATCAGCACAGCTCCAGCTATTGTGGCCATATGGGGAGTGAACCAGTGGATGGAAGACCTCTCTGTGTGTCTCTACCTCTCTCTGTAACTCTGTCATTCAAATACAATAAAATAAATCTTTAAAAAAAAAAAACACAAGGACATGGTGGACCTAGGTGGAGGGCGTGGGTGCCCATGGCTCTGGACTCCAGCTGCCGAGAGCCTCCACACCAGTGCTGGAAAGTGAGGTGAGATGAGACTGCAGTAGCCCGAGACACTGGCAGAAAAGCAGCAGAAAAAGCCTAGAGGGAATGAGGCTTGAAGCCCTGTGGGAGAAAGTACACCAGCCTAACTAGAGGAGAGAAAAAAATAAAAGTAACGGTATGGACACAATTCTCTCTCTCCAATCATCTTACAAAGGTGTTCAAGCTGAAACAACAGGTGCCATTTTGGACATATGTAACAGCTGTGCCAGCTCATGTCTGTGCCCAGCAATCAGCCGAGCAGAGAAACATGACCTTGGTGGGAAGTAATAGAAGGATAAGACCTAGTGACTGTGTGGAGATTCTGAACTGGGACTGTGAAAAATAAAAATGAGGGTGTGTGGGAAAATGCACAGTGTGGTTGAGACTTTGAATAGTCCTGGTGGGAGATGCCACAAGCTTGGGTATCTGATAAATCTAACACCCTTTCATGATGAGAATTCTAAGGAAATTTGGTATAGAAAGAACATTCCTCAACACAGTCAAGGCAATTTATGACAAACCCACGGCAATCATCATATGGAATGGGGAAAAGTTGGACCCATTCCATTGAGATCTGGTACCAAACAGTGATGCTCACTCTCACCATTGCTATTCAATATGGTACTGGAGATTTTAGCCAGAGCCAATAGCTCTGAGCCATTTAGCCATTTATCCAGAGCCATTAGTCATTTCTAGAAAAAGAAACCAAGGGAGACAAATTGGGAAGGAAGAAATCAAACTATCCCTCTCTGCAGATATTAAAATTCTTTCTTTAGGGGATCCAAAGAACACTATTAAGAGACTATTGGAACTCATAGAAGAGTTTGGTGAAGTAGCAGGTTATAAAATCAATGCACAAAGATCAAGAGCCTTTGTATACACAGGCAATGCCATGGCTGAGAAAGAACTTCTAAGATCAATCCCATTCACAATAGCCACAAAAACAATTAAATACCTTGGAATAGACTTAACCAAGGATATCAAAGATCTTCAGGATGAGAATTACAGACTTTAAAAAATGAAATAGAAGTGGTTACCAAAAAATGGAAAAATCTTCCATGTTTATGAATTGAGAGAATCAATATCATCAAAATGTCCATCTTTCCAAAAGCAATTTATAGATTCAATTCAATAGCAATCAAAATGCCAAAGACATTCTTCTCATATTTGGAAAAAAATTATGCTGAAACTCATATGGAGGCACAGGAGACCTGAAATAGCTAAAGCAGTCTTGGGCAACAAAAACAGAACCAGAGACATCACAATACCAGATTTCAAGACATACTACAGGGCAGTTATAATCAAAACAGCATTTGTACAGGTATGAAAACAGATGGATAGACCAATGGAACAGAACAGAAACACCAGAAATCAATCCAAACATCTACAGTCAACTTATATTTGATCAAGGAGCTAAAACCAATTCCTGGAGCAAGGACAGTCTGTTCAACAAATGGTGCTGGGAAAACTGGATTTTCACATGCAGAACTATGAAGCAAGATCCTGACCTTATACCTTTCA